ATCTACAGCGAAACTTCTTTATCTGTAACACATTTGCTTCTCCCTTCGCTGCAGCTAACGGAGCGCCAGCTGCAGCAGCAGCCTCCTTACTCAGGCTGCTCGTACGCGTGCACTTGCTGCTGCAGCAACAGCAGCACCAGCGCAAAAACAGCAACAGCAACAGCGCCACCAGCAGCAGCAGCACACCCGTCAAATGGCCGCTAGCGCGATAGCAGCATGGCGCAGTCTGACTGTGGGGAATGTTCCTCCATAAAGCGCAGGACTGGCTGCAGCAACAGCAACAGCAGCAGCAGGAACAGCAGCAGGAACAGCAGCAGCAGCAAACCCAACATCAATCCTCGTGGGCCTTCTTGCTGCGCCTCCCCGTTGCGTTCAGATGCGCAGCCGTCCATCAGTCACCGCAGTAGCAACTGCAGCAACAGCAGCAGCAACAGCAGCAGCAGCAGCAGCAGCAGCAGCAGCGCAGCAACAGCAGCAGATGGGCAGCTGCCCAACTTGTTATCCTCCATAGCAGGCCTTTCAATAAGAAAACTGTCGCAGCAGCCAGGGTCTCTCCATCGGTCTGCTGCTGCTGCTGCTGCTGCAGGGCGCAGCTTCCTGCAAAAGCTCCCTGCAGCAGCAGCAGGTACAGCAACACCTGCTGAAGCAACGAAGGATACAGCAGCAGAAGCAGGTGCAGCAGCAGCAGCAGCAGCAGTAGCAGCAGTAGCAGCAGCAGATGCTGCTGCTGCCTGTCCTGATTCCTCGCGTAGGCCTCCTACAGTTGTTTTGTCACACAGGGCAGCCTGCTTGAAGCAGGAGCAGCAGCAGCAGCAGGAGCAGCAGCAGCAGCAGCAGCAACAGCAACAGCAGCAGGAGGATCATTACGATGAGAAGAAGCATCATTATAATAAGCATCATCATCATGCTCATCATCAGCAGAAGAAGGAGCAACAGCAACAGCAACAGCAGCAGCAGCAGCAGCAGCGTCTACAGAAACTGCAGCAGCAGCTACGTTCTCTTGGATACCCTGAGGAATTAGCAGCAGCAAACTCCCAACTTGTTGCTCATTTATTGTCTGATTTAATTAAATCTGTTGGCAACTTTAGAGCTCTTATACTCAGGTCTGCTGCTGCTGCTGCTGCTGCTGCTGCTGCTGCTGCTGCTGCTCGTGCTGTCGATGCTCGTGATGCTGATATTCTGTTGTTGATGTGCTGCTGTTGTCGTAGTTCTCCTCCTGTGCAACTTGCTGCTGCTGCTGCTGCTGCTGCTGCTAGTTGGTGCTGTTTGTTCGATGGTTTGCTGCTGCTGAATTGCTGCTGCTCCTTCAATTGCTGCTGCTGCTGCTGCTTCGGTTGCTGCGTAAACACCTCAGGTATAGGGAGCTGCAGCAGCGCCTGCATGAAGCGAATGCTGCTGCTGCTGCTGCACAGCAGCAGCAGCAGCAGAACGAGGAACACAAGGCTTATGGAGCCTGTCTACAGCAGAGTGCTGCAGCAGCAGATCAAGGAGCAGCAGCATGCGCACGAAGGCAAGATATTAGCTGCTGCTTTTGCTGCTGCTACTGTTGCTGTTGCTAGTATTTCTGCTATTTGTGCTGCTGTTGCTGCTGCTACTGCTGCTGCAGTAGTGGTTTGCTGCTGCTGTTGCCTGTTTGCTGGTTGTTGCTGCTCCTGCTATTTGAGTTGCTGTCTCTGCTGCTACTCTTTGCTGCTGCCTTGTTGTGCTGCTGCTGTTGCTGCTGCAGCCTGCCACATATTGACGCAGAGGAAGACATCCGTACGTTTGCTGCTGCTGCTGTGCACGGAGAATTCAGCAACACTGCAGCAGTAGCAGCCGCAGCTGCTGCCCTTTGCCCTTGCTGCTGCTGCTGCTGCTGTTGGCTGCAGTGTTCCTTCGGTCACCGCTTCGTCAATTTGCTGCAGGGGTCTCCGTTGCTGCTGCTGCATCTGTTGCTGCTCTGTTTGCTGCTGCTTCAGGGGACGCAGCAACTGCTGCTGAGCTGCTGCGGCAGGCCAGGCGTGAATGTGAGCTGCTGCAGCAGCAGCTGCAGCGCCAGCAGCAAAACTACGAGCGGGAGCTTGCCGAACTCTATGAGCAGCAGCAACAGCAGCAGCAGAAGGAGAAGCAAGACGGAGGAGCAGCAGCAGCAGCAGAGCTGCGCGATTTGTTGGACGCGAAGGAAAAGGAGTTGCTGCGCCTAAAGAAGGACTTCAATGCGCTGAAGCAGCAGCAGCAGCAGCAGCAGGAGCAGCAGCAAGTGCGGCAGCTGTACAGACACCGCAGCAGCAGTTTGCTCCCCTTTGCTGCATTTATACGTGCTGTGCTGGTTCCCCCTACTACCTGCTGTTGCTGCTGACAATCCTGCTGCTGGTGCTGTTTCTTCTGCTGCTGCTGCTGCAGGAGTTGCGTTCTGCTGGCGCACCGAGCAGCGCTGACAGCAGCAAGAAGCCACAAGGCCGCAGCAGCTCCTCCCGCTGCAGCAGCAACAGCAGCAGCCGCAGCAGCAGCAGCAAGAGTTCCATCGTGCTGCGAGGCCTCCCTTGTCCTGCTGCAGCAGAACGCCGCACGCTGCTGCAGCGCTGCTGCTCACTCCAGAGACAGCTAAAGGATGCGCAGGTAGGACGGAGCAGCAGCTATAGCAGCAGAAGCAGAAGCAGCAGCAACTGCAGCACTCTATGGTGCTATACAACAATAGCCCAATATATTACTGCCACACCAGCTATGTGCTGCTGCTGCTCTGTGTTGTTGTTGCTGCTGCTGCTACCGTTGCTGCAGGCAGAAAAGGAAGAAGTTGCTGCTGAGCTGCAGCAATGGATAGAAAGGACATCAAGGGCAGAGGCTGCGCTGCAGCAAAAAGAAGAGAGGTGCGTATACACCTGAGGAATAAAAGTTTTATTTGCTTGTGCATGCATCTCCTTGCTGCTGTTTGTTTCCTTATTTGTCTCCTTTTGTCTCTCTTTGTTTACCATTTCTTTTATCTGCTTTTGTTTATCCTTCTTAGTAAATGACCGTGGATGTGCTGCTGCTGCTGCCGTTGCTGTGTCTGCTGCTGCTGCTGCTTCTACAGGACATCTGAATCTAAAAAGGAAGAAGAGGGGCAGCGGCAGAAGAGTTCTGCTGAGAAGCTGCAGGTGCAGTGCAGCAGCAGCAGCAGCAGCAGAAGTAGCATCAACAGCAGCAGCAGCACCAGCAGCAGCAGCAATAGCAGCCCACGTCAATATATTTACGTTTCTCTGTGCTGCGCCTCTGCAGGCTGAGGAGCAGGAGCAAAGGCTCTTGCTGCAGCAGAAGCAGCAGCAGCAGCAGCAGCAAATTGAGCAGCTGCAGCAGCAGCTAAAGACTGAACGCCTACGCAGCGAAGAGATGAGGAAAACATTCTTAGAGCTGCAGGCAGCAAGCGAGGCTGCGCAGCAGCACGCTGCCTTGCTTCTGGAGCAGCAGCAGCAGCGCGAGCAGCAGCAACAACAGCAGATGCAACAACAGCAGCAACGCAACTGCCCCACTTGTGTACGCCACGGCAACACAGGCAAAAGCACAAGCACCAGCAGCAAAACGCGCAGCAGCACCAAGAACGTGCAGCAGCAGCAGCAGCAGCAGCAGCACGCATGCATGCATTGTTGGGTTTACACTTTTAGCAATGTATCTGTGCTGCTTGTCTTGCTGTGATGCCTCAGGCTGCTGCTGCTGCTGGGCAAGGCGGAGCTGCTGCTGCTGCTACAGCGTAAGCCTAGTTGTGTTCTTGGCATTTGCCTCCACTCGCCAAACAGCTGCAGTTGCTGCTGCTGCAGTTGCTGCTGCCGTTGCTGCTGCTGCAACTGCCGCTGTCCTGGCTATCTTATACACTGGTGTGATGCAGCTACCCCTGCTACTTCTAATGCTGCTGGTGTTGCGTGTGCTGCTGCTGCTGCTGCTGCTGCCTCAGAGAGCAACAGAAAACTTCCAGTGAAGATGCTGATGTAAGTATGAAGTCTTCAATCCCCATAGATTGGGTTTTAGGGTTTAGGGTTTATAGCCTAGGGTTTAGGGTTTAGGGTTTGTAGCCTAGGGTTTAGGGTTTTATTACAAGCTGTTGAATACGGAGGACTGGAGTTAAGGGTTTAGGGTTTAGATGCAAACTCTTCGTGTTTGTTTGTGTGTTGCTGTACAGACACTGGATAAGGTTGAGGCGCTGCAGGCAGAACTAGCAGTAAGCAGCAAACGCAATAGATGCTGATGCTGCTGCTGCTGTTCCTATCGTTGCTGCTGCTGCTACTGGTGCTGCTGCTATCGTTCATGTTGCTGTTGTTGCTGCTGCTGCGGCTGCAGGCAACACGGCGGGAGTTGCATCTTTCAGGTTAGTTTGCTGCTGCTGTACTAGAGGAAAGTGCAACTCTTTGCTGCTGCGTTTCAGCAGCAGCAGCAGGACGGGCAGCTGTTGTTGTTGCTGCTCCTGCAGCAACAGCGAATCCCATGGCTGCTGCTGCTGCTGCTGTTATCTCTGTTCTTAGAGGTGGCCTTACGCCTGGAGCAAGAGAAGCAGCGCAGCAGCAACGCAAGTCCCAAGTCTCCCATGGTGCAGCAGCAGCAGCAATTGCAGCAGCAATTGCAGCAGCTAAAGCTGCAGCACCAGCAGCAGCTGCAAGTAGAGCAGCACCTCCGCTCTCAGGTCGAGATGCAGGCGATGTCTATTGCAGAGCACCGCCAGACTGTCCGTATCTAGGGTTTAGGGTTTAGGGTTTGCATACAGGGTTTAAGGTTTAGTGCTACCTGTAGCAGGCAGTGTCCTCTCTGCACTACTTTCAGCAACAGCAGCTGCTGCTGTTATTACTGTTGCTGCTGTTGCTGCTATGCAGGTAGCTGAGTTGCAGCAGCAACTGATTGAAGCGGAATCTGCGCGGGCAAGGAATGCCGAGGTGGGGAGCAGAAACCGCTTGTGCTGCAGCAGCAACAGCTGCTGCAGCAACGGCTGCTGCAGCAACTGGTGCTGCACTATTCAATTCTGCTTCTCGCGTTGATGGAACGTGTGCGGTCGGTGCTGCAGTTGTTTCTTTTGCTGTAGTTGCTGCTTCTGCTGCTGCTGCTGCTGCTGTTCTCCTGCAGGCTGAGCGGCTAGTCCAGAGACAGCATATTGAATTCCTAGAAGCAAAGACACAGGCAAGTTTGTGTAACCATTGCTGCTGCTGCTGCTGCTGCTGCTTCTACTCTTGTCGCTGCCATAGTGCTCTTAGCAACACTGCTGCATGTGCTGCTGCTGCTGCTGCTGCACAGGCAGTGTCCATTTTAGAAGTGGAGAAGCGAAAGGCTGAAGAATCTATCGAGCTGCTGCAACAGCAACTGCAGCAGAGCCAGCAGCAGCAGCTGCAGCTGCAGCAACTGTTGGAGCAAGCTAACGCAGGAGTAACTGAAGTACGCGCCGCTGCCGCTGCTGCTGCTTCTTGTGCTGCTGATCGTGCTGCTCGGATTGGGTAGTTGACGGTCTTTTCTATGTATTCTGTGCGGTTGCAGCTTCGCATGCAGCAGCAGCAACAACAACAAAAGCAACAACAGCAGCAGCAGCGCCAGCAGCAAACGGAGGAGCTCGTAGCTCACGTAAGTACTCCTGCTCCCATCCTGTGCTGCACCTGCTGCAGGGCAGGAAGGACAATCTTGCGTAGCCCCTCTGCAGTCTTCGAGAGCAGCACCAGCAGCAGTAAAAGCAAGAGCAGCAGCTGCAATCGCAGCAGCTGCAGCAGCTGCTCTGTATATGCAATGTGCTGCTGCAGCTGACACTCGTGCATGCCGAGGCGCTGCAGCGAGAGGAAGCACTCAAGGTAGAAAATGCAGAACTGCAGGTTAGTCGGAAGCAGCAGCAGCAACTGCAACAGCAACAACAGAAGCAGCATCACCAGCAGGAACAGCAACAGCAGCAGCAACGCCAGCAGGAACAGCAACAGCAGCAGGAACAGCAACCCAAGCAGCAACACCAGAGGGAGAAGCAGCATCAGGAACACAAACGGCATTACACGGCTCAGAATGAGCTTTATGCTTATTTGCGGTCCATTCTGCTGCTGTGTACGCTGCTGTTGATGCTGCTGCTGCTGCTGCAGGCTGAGCTGCAGCAGCACGAGAGGCAGCTGCACGCTGCTGCAACAGAGCTCGAAGCAAGAACACGGCGTTGTCTACAAGCTGAGAAAGACAACGAGGGTTTAATAGACAAGCTGGATACCCTTGCTGCTGCTCTTGCTGCCCGTGCTGCAGCAGAAGACGCAGGCGCAGCGCCTGCAGCATCAACTGCAGCAGCCGCTGCCGTCCCTCAGTCCCCATTCTCTCGCCTGCAGCAGCAGCAGCAGCAAGCTGCTCGTAGCACCTCCACGTATTTCGGTCGCGCACTTCACTTATAATGGATGGCAGCCCCAGCTGCTGCTGCTGCAGTTGCAGCAGCAGTTGTTGCTGCTGCTAGTCATAGGGAGTTCCCACCACTGCATAGGGGACAGTAGTGTTAGTTGAGGTGTACGTACACCGCGTAGTGTACTGCCAACGGCGTGGCCAGAGCGCTTTGTTGCTGCTCCATTTGCTGCTGCTGTAACTGCATCAGCAGCAGCAGCAGCAACAGGTTTCAAGGGCCTCCACGGGGCGGACCCGGCAGGCTATATATCCGTTGCCACCGCTGGGGTGTATAGGCAGGTTTTAGTGAATAAGAAGGATTTCTTTCTGTTTATTTTTATTACGCATGCAGTTTAATTTAATCAATTAATTTAATTAAAAAATAAAAGAGAGCAACAGACACGCAGCGGCCCCCCACGCCTCCTTGAAGGCAACAACAGGAGGTAGTAGGTCGGCCTGGAGACCTGCTGCTGCTGCTGCAGCAGCAGCAGCAGATATCTCCCAGACAAGCGGGCATTCAATTATTAAGGAAAGAGACACTTCCTGCTGCTGCTGATGCAGCAGCATACTGCAGACACGCAAGCACATGCAAGCAGGGGCCTCCTTCGATACTGTTGCTGCTGCGGCTCCAGCAGCTGCTGCACTGCTGCTGCTACTTAGCAGCAGCAGAAGCGGCTGCTGTTCACCACTTCTGTCGTAAGGTGTAGAGTTTTCGTTTGCCTGTGCTGCTGCTGCAGCAGCAACTCACCACAACGGCAGCAGCAGCGGCAGCAGCAAACCCTCTGCAGTAGTAACCACAGCGGCTTGGGGGTGGCAGTCAGCAGGTAAGACGCAGGAGAAAATTGCAGCTGCTGCAGAAGCAGTGGCTGCTGCCACAGCTGTTGCTGCGGCTGCTGCTGCTGCAACTGCTACCGCTTCTGCTGCTGCTGCTGCTGGTACGCACATAAAGGCCCTGCCGGGTAGCAGCCTATTTCAGACGGGCAAGGAAGAAACGTCTACGCGCTGCACTGTTTATACGCTGCAGTTGCCACTAACAGCAGCAGAAGCAGCAGCCGCAGCTACGGATGGGCCCTGCAGGCAGGTGGGTGTCTGCTGCAGTAGCTCACAGGTGATTGGAAGCATGGCTTCCCTACGTATGGCGGGAAGCCACAGCAGCAGCAACAACAACAATAGCAGCAACACCAGTAGCAGCAGCAGCAGCAGCACTACTGTCACCGCTACACCGGGATATTTCAGCAATGGCCTCTGTACCGCAACAGCAGCAGCCATCGCCACCTGCAGCGCATCCGGCAGCTGCAGGTGTGCTGCCTTCCCTCGATACATGCAGCAGCAGCAGGAACAGCAGCTGCAGCAGCAGCAAGACGGAGGGAGCGTTGGCTGTATGCCTAGACACAAGCAGTATGACAGGAGCGGCGCACAACGCAGCAGCACCACCACAACCTGCAGCAGCAGTACTGCGGGCTGCAGCATCAGCACCAGTAGCTGCAGCAACACCTCCAGTAGCTGCAGCAGCACCACCACGACCTGCAGCACTAGCACCAGGAGCTGGATCAGCAGTACCGCGAGGTGCAGCAGCAGTAGCAGAAAATGCCGCTACCTGTGGTTACTTTGTGCAACAGCAAGGCCTGCAGCAGCGTGAAATGGCCATAGAGGTTCTGCCTGCAGCTCCCGCTGCAGTTGCTGCAGCAGCAGCAGTAAGAGAGCTCGCTAATAGCAACGGCGGCGGCAGCAGTAACAGCAGCAGCAGCAGCATGTCCAGTTGTGTACCGAAGGGACGGCAACATTTCACGACAGCTGCTGCAGCAGCACAGTCAGCAGCAGTACAACGTGCTACGACAGCAGCAGCAGCAGGACCTGCTACTATAGCAGCAGCAGCACACTCGGCAGGAGCAGAAAGTACTCCTGCAGCAGCAGCGGGGACAGCCGTAACAGCCGTAGGAGATCCAACGAAGTCTACAGCAGCAACAGCAGCAGCAACAGCAGACACTTATACTGCAGCCCCCAGTATTCGTTCTTATTGCGCCCAAGCAGCAGCAGCGCCGAGGGACTCTCCTGCTGCTGCGCCTGTTGCTGTGCCTGCTGCTGCGCCTACTGCTGCATCTAATGCTGCAAAAACAGCAGAGAAGGCAGGCATGTTCACCACCTTCACAGACAGCAGTGTATCTGCTGCAGCAACGGCATTAGCACGTGCAGCAGCAGGAACGGCAACAGCAGCAAGAGGATATGTTGAAGCGCGGGGGAGTGGAGAGGACGCGATGCACGTTGATGGGGAGTTCCCGATGAATGCAGCAGCAGCAGCAACAACAACAACAGAAGCAACAACAACAGCAGCAACAACACCAGCAGAAACAACAGCAACTGCAGCAACTGCAGCAACAGCAGCTAGGGTGGCAATGGTAACACCTACAGACCGCACAACGCAGAAGCTTGAGCAGCAGCCATTAGGAGCAGCTGTATCAGCAGCAGCAGCAGCAGCAGGTAAAGCAGCAGCAGTAACAACAGGAGCGGCAGCAGCAGCACCATCCCCACCAAATTCCCGTCCGCTCCGACGTCGTGCATCGCCTGAGCAGCAGCAAGAGCATCAGCAGCAACCGGACCAACCGCAGCAACAACAATACCAGCAGCAGCAGCAGCAGCAGCAGCAGCAGCAGTGTTGGTTTAGCGATGTTTTGTTTGCTTACAACTTGCGCGTTGGATTTTCAGTGCCAAGAGATGTCCACCAAGAGAGTCATCCTCTCTCTCTATATGGTATGGGGGAATTTAAGAGCGGGCTATGGGGTAAGGGCAGCAGCAGCAGCAAGAGCAGCAGCAGCAGCAGCAGAGATGCCCGAAAGCTGAGGGATCCGCAACAAACGGACAGCCAGCTGGCCAGCAGTGTGCGTTGGTTTTCTGCGTGCTGCAGACAGCAGCAACAGCAACAACAGCAACAGCTGGATGGTGCCAGCAGCAGCGCGAACACTGCTGGCGTCCTTCCGCAGCAGCAGCAGCAACAGCAACAGCAGCAGCAGGAGGACTGCCTGCAGGGATGCTTGCTGCGATCTGGCCGGTATGTGGGACTCGAGAACTTGGGAGCAACTTGTTATATGAATGTCTTTATACAGGCGCTGTACATGAATGTACACTTCAGGCAGGCGCTGCTGCTGCTGCCAACACTGCAGCAGCTGCAGCAAGCGGAGCAGCGGCAAGGCAGACAGGCTACCAAACAGGCTACTACCCCTGTAATATGCGTGGACGATGACGTTGAAACGCAGCAGCAGCAACAACAACAGCAGCAGCAGCAACAACTGCAGCAAAGCGGGGACGTAATGCCTGTGAAGGGAGCAGTGCCGCAGAAGCAGCACGAGGTGATCGTGCAACAACAGCTGCTGCTGCAGCAAGCTGCTGCTACAGGAAGTGCGTCGCCGACCTCTGGGAGAACTGAGGGGATACGCAAAGCTGCAGCAGATGACCGAACAGCAGCAACAACAGCAACAGCAACAGCAACAGGAAATGCACCTGAAGCTGCTTCCTCCACGGGCGCAGTGCGCGCTAGTGGAGGCCACGAGGACGCTTCGGGCGTGTCTATAATTTCTTCGATAGGGGCATCGAAAGATGGTACAAACAGCAGCAGGAGCAGTAGCAGCAGTAGCAGCACCACAGACAGCACAAAGCCGGCTGCTAGTGGTGTAAGTGCTGCTGCGGCGGCTGCTGCAGACAGCCGTTCATGGGCCTTAGATGAGGCTACAGCTGCTGCTGCTTGCAAGTGGCTGTGCAGCAGCAGGTATGCACTTGTAGCCGAGCTGCAGCGGATCTTCGCTCTGCTGCAGTGCGGTGTACAGGCAGCTCTTAGGCCAGAGTCTCTGGCTGATTTGTTGGCGGACGACTTCTCCTGTCAGGTAGGCTGCTCCTACTTTTGCTGTTGCTGTGGTGGTTCTCTGGCGTGAGAATCTGCAAGGCAATTTGGTGCTGCTGCTGTTCGCTGCTGCTGCTGTTTCGGATACATTATCAGCGGCAGCAGCAGCAGCACGAGTGTAGTTTCTGATGTTTTAATTGCAGCTTTTGCTTAGGCGTTGATTGGGAGACTGGTGTAGACAGCTTGTGCTGCTGATGCTGCCTTAGCTGCTGCTTCTGTCCTAACTGTTGCTGCTGCTGCTTCTGCTGCTTCAGGAGGATGCAAACGAGCTGCAGCATCGTCTGCTGGAGATGTTGGAAGCTGAGTTGGGGGGTGTCAACAGCCCCTGGAATTTCTTGCCTTCGCTCTTTAGGGGAGCGCATCTGCAGGCAGTTTGCTGCCGCAGCTGCGGATACACCGGACTGCGGGAAGAAACATTTTATCAGCTTAGCTGCAGCCACAAGAGCGAAAGGAAGAACGTCAGGGAAGACAAAGGCCAGCAGCATACTGCAGCAGCGGCTGCTGCCGCTGCTGCTGCTGCCGCTGCTGCTGCGGGAGCCAGCGACGCATTCGATCCGAAGCACCAAATTTACATGCAGCAGCATGCAGCGGGCGACCGACGTGCAGGAACCAAAAGGGAACGGGGGGGAGCAACGAAGAGCAATGCTGCCCATCAGCAGCAGCTGCTGCAGCAAGCGATCCCGGGTTGGGGTATGGATCTCGTTATGCCTTCTGCGGTTTCTCCTGTGGGTTTGGCGCCTACACTTTCCCCTCCAGCATCTTCATTCCCATCATTATCATCGTCGTCAGCAGCAGCACCAGCACCACCAGCAACACCAGCAGCACCAGCAGCTGAGCGCAGCAGCTGGCGACTAGGGGAGGACTTGGCGCGGCAGTTTCAGCGGACAGAGCAGCTGCGAGGAGATGCAAAGTATTTCTGCCCTCAGTGCGGCGACAAGCGAGAAGCGCGGAAGCGGCTGCAGTTGTCGCTGCTGCCTCCATACCTGCAAGTTAGTGTCACAAAGAGAAACACGAAGGAAAACACCAGAACGCATGCAAGCAGACACAGCGACACAGAAAGTAGCAGCATTTGCACAACTTGCTCGTCGTTACTTTATTCTCTTCTTTATCTTCTAATCATCATAACTTTCTTACTCTAATCACCATCTTACCATCTTCTTACCATTGTCATCATCTTATCATCATAATCACCCTCTTCTTGTCTTTATCTTATCCGTATCAGTTTCTTACTATCACTTCCTCAACGCCATATATATATATATATATATATATATATAT